CACTCCCCGCAAGTTTTCATTATGAGGAACGACGGCAAACATCAGACGTGAATCCACATTCACACGGGCGAAAATGCAACAGTACGTAATGTCCATAACAAGAGAGGTTACCCACGCCGTTCTATAACGGAACAAAAAAAACGGGCGAAAATAAGTGAAGAAATTGTTCGAGTTACTGCGTTTGCATGACAGCCCAAAGATACCAACACAGAAAGGGTGTTCATTTGAAACAAACAGGTTTTACAATTACAGTCAGATTGCAGCGCATAACTGGTCATACTGCAGCTAAGCAGAAATACTGGGACAACGGAAACCAGTTAGATGCAGCATAAAAACCATGCATTCGTCAGTGCTTCCGGAATCCCCCTGAGGATTAGAGCGAATCGAGGACAATCGTGAACATGCTTGATTACTATAAAATCAACCAAGAAATTCCCCAAGATTCAAGTTAGCTTTTAGTACCGATAGCAAGGTAGCAAACTTTTTTCGAAGAAGTCTTGCAGTGGGGACGCTAAAACCGGTGAGAGGGACTACAGGTAAGGACAAATCTATGATACAGAAACACACCGAAAGCATCCTCAATATTAAAACATAGAAAGGCAGATGTACAATCCTACTGAAGACCACTTGAATATAGCATGGCCATAAAAACCATGCATTTGTCAGTGCTTCCGGAATCCCCATGAGGATTAGAGCGAATCGAGAACAATCGTGAACATGCTACATTACTATAAAATCAACCAAGAAATTCCCTAAGATTCAAGTTAGTCTTTTAGTACCGATAGCAAGGTAGCACACTTTTCGAGGAAGTCTTGCAGTGGGGACGCTGAATCCGGTGAGAGGGACCACAGGCAAGGACAAATCTATGATAGAGAAACACACCGAAAGCATCCTCAATAGTAAAACATAGAAAGGCGGATGTACACTCCTACTGAAGACCACTTGAATACAGCATGGCTACCTAGGATTTCCTCAAAGGTTCAAGCCAATATGCATCACAACAGATAGACATACCAAAAGTGGCATATTACTGAGAATTTTCTCAATATTTACGTCGCAGGTTAAGAGGGATAATACGGTTTAGAAAGTACAAGTTTTCACAAGCTTTCATGCCATCGATGTATCAGCGATTGTTTACTGCATCATATTCGAACTCCGTACAGAGAATACTGTGTGAAGTGGAACCAAATGACTGATAACAATACACCTATATCCGTATATGGAATCTAGCCATTCAGACAGATTTCGGCGAAGGAATTGCCAAACGTTGCGCTAATATTTTCAGCATAGGTGCTAGCGACCCGTCTACCATTAACTTGAAAAGAGGACTCAGCTACTGATACCTGATAAGGGCCCAGAGTAACCGGAAGTATTGACGTCCCTAAAGTGCAATCCGCCACCAATGCACTGAACGCCATTGGCTGAAGCTAGTTGACCTTACTTTTGTCTACCGCATCTTTACACGTGTCCTGTGAATGATGTTTCTACTAATATCTCACTAAAGGCTGCACCGTTGAATTCCCCTTACTGGCTACACGCCAAAACATCAAATTCTAAATAACTACGATAACGGGCCGAATATATAACACATTTTGATGGCTAAACTTGTGACCTGCTTAAGTTTAGACATGAAATTCTGTGACAATAAACATGATACGTCCCCGATGACATGTGAAGTTGAGCGCTAAAGTGGTTTCCAATCAGACATGTTCGCATTCATTCGTATCAGTGCTTTTTTCCATTCAATTTCGCGCCTGTAGATCGCGGGAGATACGAAAGCTTTGCGTGTACCGTTTTCAGGAACAGAACATTGCCAGGTAACTCTGACCTCAACCTTAACGGCACTGAAATACGGTCTGTGGTTACAAGTTATCCGAGTGATACAGCATCAAAACTTTAAGGATTTTCCAGGTAACACAATTGCGATCCATCAGTTGGTAGCCTGGGATGAAGCCAGTCTTGTGACGTAAAGATAAATTTACGGTAAATGAACAACTGGAAGAAAGACTTTGATCTCAATCGAACTAATTTTGCTTTTCGGGCCTGGGATGAAGCCAGTCTTGTGACGTAAGGATAGATTTGCGGTAGACGAACAACTGGGAGAAAGATTTTGACTAACTTTGCTTTTCGCACCACGGGGGCCGTTTTGTTTGTTGATATGTTGCTTTGTACTTACCCTGAAAAGCAAGTAATAAGCCCGAGTCGACTGGTCGCTTTTCCGAGAAAGTTCACGACTACTGGTCTCGTGATAGCTCAAGGCTCCTGTCAATCGATACATCCTGACGATCATGTGATATTATAGGCTGTTTGTGAGGCCCAAACTTCTGGGAGGAATAAACGTAGTTCCAAAGCTTGAAAGCTTGCTAATCACTGACAATGAAGTTGCGTTGTCAGAACTCGAATGATTTTGTCCTAAGTGGGACTCATGGTGAACGTAGAGTCAATGGATAAGTGACCCTGCGCTGAACCTTTTCAAACTATTTCTTGATGACTCCCAATCCAGAAAAAATCGTTCGCCTGATCAAATTTTCAAAGATTCATCCATTTCGATACTGTTATAAGATCTTGTGTTTTACGTTGTATGATGACTCATCAGTTAAATTTGTCACGGCATCTGAACACTACCCAGTAGCTAGTAGGAAACATTATGTCCGCCGTCGCAGCATCAGATATTGAACAAATTTTGAACATGAAGTACAATATCGTGGCAGCTTCTTTGTAGTATGGAGGGCAGCTAATATGAGAACTAGGTGAAGCGGACTGTTGGCAGCCGAGTAGTTATTAGGGCGAGTATTTGAGTGATCAAGAACAGTGTTTACAACTGTTCCTCCCTGTTATGGGGTCCCACTTCACTAAAACGCTGTCCGACTGGGACGGCCATAACAAGAATCTACCGTCTGCCGACATAATTTAACAACAAAACCAATACTGAACACACTCAGCTGTCCACACCATTTGATTCCTAAGCAGGTGGTAAAAAAATTCGAAACAGTAGATAATTGTACTGGCAAATGCAGCCTCTGTAACACGTTTGTGTTTGCCGACGCCACTACGAAGCCGCGGTTGACCGGATGGCAGTTTTTTTCCACACGACATCACGTCGTTAATTAATAGTGTTCATTCACAAAACGTATTTATATCGAGATTCTTAGGCTACATGTTGACAATCCAGTGGTCGATTTAAGGCTTCTTCTTACAGAGTGTGCGCATAGTATACATTATCAAGTATACAATCACAGCTATAAACAGAAGGCCGGTGTTGCCATGGTGAATCCATCTGACCCATTGAGCGCTGATGCACTTACCGACAGCCCTGAAAGACATCAGGTGAATTCTGCACTCGGAATATTTATCAACTACAGGTATTACCTCGATGAAATGACTACCTCCACCACAACTGAACCCATCTTCAATAAGAGTCGTATAGAGCTCAACCTGGCTCACATGTACATCAAGTTCATTATAGCGTCAGAAAGCCATCAGTGCACTGGTCTTCTAAATGATGATGAAATAAATGATGGCACGATTCAGAGAACAATGAACAGGAAACTGATCCGGGCGGGAAGTACCTCCATCGCGCGATACATGTATGATGAAAACCGCGTTAAAATAACTAGGAGACCTATTTATCCAAAACAGAGACACAATTTGCTTTGCGCATAGACCACACAGTCGGTAAACTCATACGGAACCTACATTTGAGAAGTAACTGACTTACACCAGTTATTCAGCTGACCGTCAGACACTGAACTTTCATTTTCTAAATTTTAAAGGACTATCTTCAAAAAATAGTACTTGTTTGCCACCTTGCTAACCTACCGACACAAGTGCTCGACGTTTGTTGCCTGCGTTCTCAGATGGATGTACTGTACCTCGATCATTCGGAATAGATGCATTAATTCCAGTGTGTAAGGCTGAAACTGTAATTCTCACTGAAATTACGTGCCGATGAAATCCCTTTTCACAGTAGTAGACAAATCCAGCGAAAATCGACTGAATGGTCGCAGAATGGCAGTAGATTTACCGGTTACCCGCAGTGTAAAGAACTCCCGTATTTCGCAAGTACCCATCTAATGAAGTAGTATGGTACCGGCTGCATTTCCCTTGGATGGGAATCAAACACACCAGTTGAGTAGGGTCTGTATAGCAAAGACGACAGCTATGAGGGTACATAAGCTTGACACAAATCAATTAACAGACTAACTCACCAGGTGAAGGGAAGCAGACATCTGCTTGGAAAAATACTTGCCAAATCATGAACACAAGGCACTCTACTAAGGGGAATTACAACATGGATAGGGTTTGGAAACAAGTTGGGAAAATAATGCAGGCCAGTGTTTGTTTGTGGCTCTTTCTGACCGTCACTTATTGCAGGTAATCTCTCAGCAGAAAATATTAACCGATGGGCAAAGAGTTTCGTCTAGCTTGCAAACTCTAAGTATAACCTATTTACACCTACAATATTTCTAGAATAATTCTATGTTCAACTGTTGTGATATGGTTGTGGGGACTGAATAACGCCTGACTCAGGCACCCACGGAACATTCAGGTCATAAAATTGTTTTCAAATACATACGATCGCCTTGATTCCACGTCTTCCTTCACGTAGACTCTGATAGACTTCAGTAGGCATTGTCCACTACACAGTCTCCTCACCTGGGCTACGCGCATTGAAAGATGATACCAATAAACCAAGTTTTCTTCAAATAAAATTACCAGAGCAGAACTTTGAGTTAACGCTTGTCAATTAACTCGTGTGTGTAATAATGCTAACAGTGGAACCGGATATAAGGGTTTTACGCAAATCTGCTGGAATATCACTAGTTACTCGGGTTCTTCTGGAATAACTCATGTCGTCTGAAGTGCATGGTTGTCCCTCAGTTGTCTCAGTCCTACATCAGTTTGACTAGAAAAGGATCTTTCTTCTTCTCACTACTTTTCTTCTTTTATCCAGATGAACCTTTCAGTTTGACGTTCGAAATAGCTGCACTATACATGCGATGGTGTGGTTTACCTGGATCGAGTTGGACACGGTTACTTTTGGCATACAGAGAATGCACAATCTGTTTTTGCAACTTCTTTTGCCTATTGGAATACACTGCTGTCAGAGCATTGGAACTTTAAAGCTGACCGAAGTTCCTGTCGTCAAGTCAAACTCAGGAGGTAGTGTATTACCGACTACAGTTCAAAACACGGAGTCTGTACATCCATTCTCAGTGAACTTAACAGAATTTCTTGCAAGCCGGCTTCAGATGGATACACAGGACCTTGTTTCAGTACCCGTGTATTTTTCCGACGTTGAACAAAGCCGACCTTTCGTAATTAGACGGCAGACGGATGGACACCCTTGGTACCAGCTGACAACCACGGTGCTACCAGACCGTGAAAGCATCTGTGATAAACGTTTGTATCCCGAACGAATGACTGTATCACAAACATGTTGTCCCCTGGAATTCACTGCCCCAGCAGAACTTTCATTGACCCCTGCAAATTATCCTTGTTGTGTATATCTAGGAGTAACAGTCCTATCCAAAGGGACTTATTTCATTCGCATTGATGTCGGTGATGTGAACGACAATGCCCCGTTTTTCAGTGCAATAAACAGCAACACTAATCGCAACTTCATGTCAACTTACAGAAAAGAGATAATCGGGAAAGTGATTATTTCTATCCCTGAAGGCACACCGCCCAACTCGTGGTTTGCGCTGCCCATGGCAACTGACCCCGACGAAGGGATGAACGGGGCAATACGCTACTCGATCTCGACTAATGGTGAAGAGCGTTGGGCTGAATATTTTCGCCTGCTGAACAACTTGAAAACTGCGTCTCTCCCGGTGAACAGCACTCAAGTTAGTGTGGCTTGGAACAACGCTGGAACGATGAATCATCTAAGTTTGGGTGATTACAGTGGACCTGGTCTCATGGTACTTCAGACCTTAGATCGAGAATCAATTGCGGACTACAATTTACGTTTGGTTGCGGCTGATCTTGGAGAATCTATTGGATGGAGTAGTACCATTCAGCTGCAGATTTTGGTAAGCTATACCACATGACACTATACTGAACTATGTTATTCCACAGTATACAGCGCTCCCATACCACATTACATTACAGGCCAAATTATTACTTGGTACTTCCATAACCATAACATACTACTGATTCAAATTCATTATACGAGCAGTCTTGGTCACTGGGACGCCGCCGTACTCAAAAAGACACATGGCATACAAAAATAGTGACTGATGTCAACAAGTGACCCTTCAGGCAATGGTCACTTGCTTCCTGTTTCTCTTTATATCCAAGAATATTACTATTCACTGTTTTCATTTAGAGACGCCTGCAAAACTAACTTATAAGACAAAGACGAATTCACACTGTTGAAAAATTTTGATCCGTGTTACTCAACTAGGAATTCCCTTGACTAACGGGGATTAGGTATTGCTCACTCTCCTTCTGTCAATGGATTGATGGCTGTGATGTGGCACATTTCGGGTATATTCCGGGCCAGTTTCATTTTGCCAGTCCGAGCCATCCGTTTTTTGAGACACGGTAGCGGTAAGTATATTGTAAGGGAGCTACTCGGATCATTCCCGCTACAACGCCAAGCCGAAAGAAATAAGCAAACTGTGGTAAATTGTAAAAGACAACGTACGCATTTTTCAGCATGTGTGCTGACATGCACCTTATGTTTGCTTTCGTTAAGGCAGCGGTCGAAGTCAGCTCGCATTTTGGGTCTGCACTCATAGCACATAGTTAATATTATTCGAACCCTTTTGAGTAGTGCTCTAGGTTTATTGAAGTTTACATCCCACCAAAAGCAAGCCTCATTGTATCATCTTTGTAACGGTGATTTAATTTTAAATGTTTTAGAAATTATGATGAAGGACACTGTCCTGATTTAGCTTCCCTGCTGTCCCATATGTTTACCGTCACTAGGTACTTGACGAAAATGACAACGCACCCGTTTTCGAAAAGGCTGTCTATGAAGTCGAAGTGAACGAAAACCAAGCTGGGATTCCGCTCCTCTATGTGAAGGCGAATGACTCCGACTCGGATAATAACGGTCGTGTGGTGTACTTTATGAAACCTAGCCGCACAGATAACACGGTCAGTTTTGACTTCTTGCGGACTCACATTCAACTAGTTCCCATGAATGATGGGGTGACTCTTAGGCTGAGCCAGCCGTTGGATTATGAACGAAGCCCGGCCTTTCATTTCGATCTTGTGGCAGCAGATCAAGGGCGAGTTCCATTATCATCCAGTGCATCTATCCTCATTACCGTCAGGAATGTGAATGATCATCCTCCTCTCATTCGTTTCTTTCTCCACGGGGAACCACTCGAGCATGATTACGCCCGACTTAGTGTAACGGAACATTTTGGCACAGTGCCTAAACAATCCTTGCAAGATAATCTGTTGTGTCATGTTCACGTGACCGACGCTGACAGTAATCTTGACAAAATTCAGTGCAATGTGGAATCGGGAGACCGGAAGTTTGTCCTCCGTGAGGTCATGACTGACCAACTGGTACAAAGGAGGAAGATTTATGAGCTAACAGCGACAACGTTGTTGGATCGCGAATCTACTCCAACCGAACTTATCACTGTTCGTTGTCAAGATGATGACGGTCCCTCGAGGCTTGTCAGTCAAAAACAGTTACATCTGACTCTTAAGGATGTGAATGATAACCCTCCGAAATTCTTGCAGGAACAATATCATGGTTACGTGTCCGAGAATGCAGTGAATGCTGTTGTCGTGTTGCACTTATCTAACGCAACTTGGAAGGACGGAGTTGATAGCACTGTAATATGTGCGGTCGACAACGACACCGGTATCAATGCTAATGTTCAATATTCGCTTCAAAGCTGGTTGGAAGAAGACAAAGTAGCGAAGCATGGTACAGAGAACGGCAGTCAGACCGTAGATGAGAAAAACACCCTTCTACGATATGATCACTCTCAGGATGCAAATCAATTTTATATCGATCCTACATCAGGACAGCTACGAACTCGCACCGCACTGGACTGTGAAAAGCAAAAGCTCTATCGATTTTTGGCCGTCGCGATGGACAAAGCGCAACCACCTGAATCGAGGTACACAACGACTGTGAGAGTTACGATTGAGGTGAGTAGCACATACTAGATGCTTATGATCTGATGAATATATGCTATTCACATCAGTTAAGACTGAAGAGAAAGGAACGGCCATCACGGATGCTAACAGAAAATGTCAGGTCCCTAGTTTGTATGTCCATTTGGGAACTGCCCCTCATGGGCTAAACTGTGACTATTCGTTCAGCTGAACCAAATGAGGTCAGTAGCCCCCTATACGGTCTTTTAGATCGACACACCAGAAAAGCTCCAATGCAATTTATAATCGCCCTAGTATTGGCTTCCTATCAGGCCATAAATGTCATAGTGTTGCCAGTTCTCGTTGGATTGGTATGTCAAATCTGAACTTAGCCCAACAGGAAACTGCGGTTGATATCCAACAAAGTGTCAGAATGACGTAAAGTGTGAAGGACAGTTTTGTGGTTCCTCGTATCATCCATCCATCTTTTGCCGTTTATGTGCCAGTGTGGGTCGATTTCAGCCAATTCGTTTGGGTCGCGGACTGCTCATACCGCGTCTTATGTAAGCCAGCTGGGCCACGGATAATTTGGAGTGATGCAAAGTAAATTTCTAAAAGGTGCAATCAGACTATGCTGCTTTTGATCGCAACGCTGATAATTTCATCCAAAAAAACCAAAGTTAACTTCAATGAAAAGGAGACATGTTACACCCGTAACAGTTGATCATTTTTACAGAACAACCTAAATACCAGTACTGAGCGCACTGCTGTGTTTTGAAAGTATACTGTTAGACATTCCAATCTGTTGCATTGGGCCACAGGGCAGCACTGGGATACTGAAAATGCAGCAAAGTGTCGTTGCCTGGCAATTTTGAACTTAATATTATGTATTTACCGACGAAGGCAGCAAGATTTAGGTATCCATATGCGTGGCCAGCAAGACACACCATATCTACCAAGAGATTTTCGGAAGGAATCTGCATATGTTTTACGTGAATTTTAGAGACTAGAGTGTAAAATCTACATGGTATTTTCAAAACCTTGGTTTTAGTACTTTAGTTCAAACTGTTATCCATTCAGCACCAGACTTCTAGAGTTATCACCAGGAGTTAACTGAGGAAGGCAGAAGATACATGTTACGAAACGTGAGCAATTCGTCCTTAGCTCTTCAAGCGCAACCTTCAAGACAAGAAATTTATATTTGGACATGAAACTGTTTTTAAAAGAATCGTCAGTTGGCTGAATTTCTACGCTGATTCTGTGATAAAAGCATACTGTTTTCTTCATGAAACTTCATGGACGGAGAAGAAAGAATCCACAGTGATTAAGGTCACGGTGGAGGACATTTCAAGGCCCGAATTCCATTAGCTTGAAAAAACACTCCGCGGTTGGGAGAAACAGAAATATCGCGGTAATGTCCTTTACTGTCCCCCTACTGACCAAGTCTTTCTGCGTTCGTGTGAAGCGCAACAAGACGTTTCGCAAAGTACACCTACTCGCAAACTAATTCGGTTTGAGCAGGAGACTAACCTGGACGCCAGATAATTATCTTTTTATACTCCCCAACTGCATGCTGAACTCAGACCACATCATGCTTCAGTTGCAGATTATTCGAGTTCTCGTAGTACATTTTCTCGACGGAACACACTACGCTTAGATTTCCTGAAAACTCTTTGAGGGCCCACTATCGGTTTCGCCTTTCTTGGGACTTATCAGGCAGCCACATTCCCCTAGGCTCCGTCAGCCTCATATTCCAGTTGAACCCAAATTGGACTCAAAAAACTCGAATACACTCATTTGCACCCTCGAAGACTGTACTCGTCTGATGAGCCTCCAGAACTAGACTGTCCCGGGGAATTTAGCAAACTTCTTGATAATAAGACTTTTATTTCACTCCTGGATTTTAGTTTATCACCCTGTCCTGCATACAAATCCAATAGTAAACCTTGAATGGGATAGGTGATGACAAATCCTTTGTTTAACTGACGGGGTCTTGGACACCATGAACTGACGGTACACTAGAATCCTTGACATACGACAAAATTTATGCCGACCGAAATAGGATGTGAATGAAGGGATTGTCTTTTCTTATTCAAGGACCCATGCGTTTTGTTCACTGACAAGTGCTGCCGTTCATAGCATTTGTTAAGGACTGTCCTTATGAACATCCTGCATCATTTCCACACGCAACGAACCAATAGGTTTTGTTCACTGACAAGTGCTGCCGTTCATAGCATTTGTTAAGGACTGTCCTTATGAACATCCTGCATCATTTCCACACGCAACATGAGGAACCAATAGTCCCCCCCCCACAAGAAATCGAAATCAAGAGACACTGGGTGACCAGCTGTTTAAAATAATGGGGTCCCTGAACGTCCCTGTAACTGCTAAAGGAAAGTAAGCGAATCGATTTTACTGACAAGCCGATGTTTTCGAGCTTTTTGTAACCGAATACAATGAAACACCATTCAACAGACCTTGAACTTACCAAGTACTTCCAGTATCTTAAAGCTCTCCGTGAAACATATTCTACAGAAGAATGTGCCATTTTCTGCTGTCTTTTTGTCTTCCGTTTTTGTCGCCAAATCCCTGATGGTGAAAGCACATGGAAGGTAGCCGCTTCTTGGATCACTGGCGCAAAGCAATCCGTTCATAGATTACGAGGCTGTGCCAAGCGATTCTGTTAAATCTAAGTGCCTATTTAATATTTTGTTGCTGGATTTCATGCACCTCATTAGCGATTGGTACTTTGGAGGCGTCTGCACCTATTGCATGGTCATCATCAGCATCAGCAACAGCAACAGCAACAGCAGCTGTAAGAACGGCGTATTTGTCGTTGCATGCTGCGCAGTTGGAATAATGAAGCCCTTGTGCACCTTAGCTACCGTGGCTGTCATTTTTCCTCATAGGCGGGGAAGGTCGACCGGGTGTGAGCCACAGGCACTTTGTTCTTAAAGTACGAAATATGGAGCTATCAGTTTTGTTGCTACTCTGGCGACAACACATGTGTCGCTGCAGACGTACTGTTTCCAGTAATAGAAGGCAAGCCCGGTTTGGAAAGTTCCTGGGCGAAGGAAGGATCCCTGTCCTTTTTGTACAGGATATGAGGGTATGGTTGCCATGACGCTGATGCCTTCAGCCTCAGTGGCCAGTTACCTCAGAATGCATGCTCGGGAAGTAATGTTTGTCAAAATTAAGTCCCTCACTGAACAACCGAGTTAGGTAAGCTAATCGCTGATGGATTGCGATGACTAGTTTGTTCAGGTAGCTAGTTGTCTAACTGGATAGCAGCAAAAGAATATATGCGGAGTCATCAGTTATTAGCAAGAATCCTAGCTCAAAATGCAAGTCCTAAGTATCAAGTTAACGGAAGTGAAGAATATAGGAAGGAAAGGTGACACAAATTCACCTCATTAACCCNGGTCGCTTACTAGGGGATTTATTACTCTGCTCATCAAACTTGGGCCCGAGCCACTCGTAAAAATTGTTCAGTGACAGATATTTGTTAACGTCTATTGTTTCATCACTTTCTTGTGATACCCTCGCAAATGTGCTCCCTGAAAATTCAACTTAGGTTACATAAAACTCCAGTTATAGTATCTACACATGCAGACGTTACCGGTGTGACATTAAGCAAGCAACATAGTACATCTCCGGCTGACCGTCGTTCGCCTGACGGATACAGTTATCATTTATTTTTGAAGAGCATGGTCACAAACATAAAAAATGAATGCAACCAACAAATGCGAAAGGGTAACAGGAGGATATGACAGAAAAGAAACGCCTCCTTCGGAGTCATGTCAACAACAGTTCCAGTCTGATGAGATGAATCCGAACGTATGCAAAAAGTTTGATATGGGAAAACAACAACCGAAGAAAGGACAGGCAATAGTGAATGCTCTTGAAGGCGCGGTAGGCGCTAGCACAGTCAAGACTGGCACACCAGGCACAAAGTGCTCGTCATACTGGGTCTGGTGTGAGATTAAATGACAAAAATGTACATTCAACGCCGTGTGCCACGCATAAAAGTGTCATAAGTACGTAGAGAGCCCACGATGACAAGCAAACACAAGTCACTGACCGTGACTTCAGGAAGTCCCAGTTCAATGACAGCCTTAGCGGAGTGAGGAAAGCAGATCCCACGATAAGAGATGATCATCGGTTGGTGGAGCAAAATGTCGACATCACAACCGATTGCTCGTAGGGCTGAGATTATGGCAAGCGTATACCTATCAACACCATATTTCTGCTTCTTCTCATTTCACACAGTCACTCAGTGCCCACCGGAGACTACGCTGACGTCCATTACAGTTGCTCGGCGATCTCGAATATCGCTTAGGTCAGGTTTGATGAAGGACTTCGAAATAGGTGCTCTCAAATCCTCGAAGACGGTGTATCCCATTCGACGAAGACGTTTTGCAAGTTCCCTTGCAACCCGATTATGACGAGCACATCTTGCGTCATGCGTGATCCAACAGGATTGCAAAATATCCACCAAGCTCTCCGGTCGGCCACAGTTTCCACGACATAAGATCGTCTGGCCACCACGACCATGCCAAGTGATCCTTACTTACAGTTTTAAATTTCTGGTTACCTAAATCAACATCAACAGGTAAATTGTTCCAGGAACAGTTGGGCTGGCGATTTTTAAGAACTAGTTTGAATGGTGTCGCCGTGGAAACGCTTGATGCAATTCCAATCAAATGGAATTTGTTTAGAGAATAAACAACAAAAGACCTCGAAAGAAACACCAGTAGTTTCAAGGTTTTCTTCCAAAACCAACGTTTGTAACCTCTGATTTGCACTCGTCATTACTTCAACACCATTAGAAATATCGTATTTTGCAAGGAATTTGCACTTACCGCCAACCGGAATAACAATTCAAGGTATATGGTCGTTAGCTTGTTCGCTGAACTGGACAATTCGATTGCAAACGTTCCATCACCAATCGAGGTGACATCATCAGTGTGTTATTGGGGAGCATAGTTGTGCGTAGCGGTGGGTTAGTGGTTGTGCCACTAACCCAATAACGCACTGATGATGTCACCTCGGTTGGTGATGAAACGTTTGCAATCAAATTTCCCAGCTCAGCGAACAAGCCAACGACCATCTACATTACCTGACCTACCGACATTTTCCTCTATAGAAAATTTTGGAGACGTTCCTGCCAGTTGACCTCAGTTTGCTGACGGGTATTGCTGGCAGTGGTAGGCGGACCTGGAAGCCTAAGCTGAGCGACCCAATCTATCGACGACTAAGACAGCATCGTACCTGCGCGCAGTGCAATGAAGTTAACACAAAAGGTCTGGAATTCGGTTCATTTCTATATGCTCTCAGAGAGGCAACTTACATAGAGACAAAAGTCGCGAAGGGCCATTTTTGTCATACGGGATCAGGTACAGAGCAATAGACGGTTTATTTTCTATCCGGAATTTGCTTGCCACATCAATTCAGCAGAATCCCGAGTGGGATAGATGAAAGGTCTATGGAACTTCCCAAACCAATAAAAATGTAACGGCTCATAATTCTAAAATTCAGAAACCCTTTGTCAAGTATTTACGAGTGTGACATATGAGGATCTGAATTCGGTGACGATTTGTGGAAACTCAACCACAAAAAGTGAATCCTTGTAAAGATTTGCGGCCTATCGGGTCACAGCGTACGGCAAATCCGAGATTATGTGCGTTACAAAGGGGGAACATTGACAGAGAATCATTGAATTCGCCTTCTCAGTAGGCTTGTTCCTTCCGTCGATGAATTTCTTTATTTGGAGCTTTGACTGTGTGTAGTTTCCAAGTGTTACTCAAGCAAGAGAGCCTACACATCGGACGACAAATGAACAGTTTTGTAGAGAAACACGTTTGGTGCTCTTTGCAACATTTAATTACAGTTTTCAGTTACTTGGTAACATTTGTCTGGGGAATGCAATGGCTAGTTGAAGCGAAAAATGATGTACTTGTCTGGGCTCTGATGGTGGGATGACTGAGACCTAGTGACAAATGACTGGGTGAAAAAACTGGAACTCCAAACTTACCAAAATTATCAAGTTTATGTGAAAGCATATGACGTTCTCTGAATAATATTCCTTGCTTAAATATATTTCACAGGGCTGAATGATAAGATTGCTCACTTGAATCGGGTTCAGATTTCTAGCAACATGTTACTTTTCTCAATCTTTCCACCACGAAATCAAAGTTTGCACCGGCAATTTCTTCGTGCTTTGTAATGCAAATGAGAATGATTGAAGCTATTTTGCTGATTTACCGTATTTTTGCAACAACTTCCACTTTCCTCGACATTAGCATTAAATTAGGATCTCCAGTAGTAGTATTTCTAACTTAAAAACTCGGATTCTCATATTAACATGACCTGAAGAAATTCCTACTATCTGAAACAGTCCGTAAGTGGAAGTCTCCTCCCACTTTTGAAGCATCTAACAGTTTTGGGATTCAGATTTCGGTTCAAGTGGGAAAACGATCAGAATTTAGACTGAGATGCCGAGCAACCTGGAAAACAACTCCCCATTTCCCGAAATAGCTTAAGGTCATACTGCACACCAAAAAGACGAAGTAGTGTCAGTGTTTGGATAACGCCGCTGTGTGGTTTGACATGATCCGTTCGAAAGCGACCTGAATGATGAGCGTCGATACTACCTATGAAAACACATTACACAGTCATATGACACTAAAGTCACTACTGGTGTGACCGACAACATTCGTTATTGGTCATCCAAGAATCGGCAGCCCCACCACAGTGTATCTTTTACAGCAAGCATGCCTTTTGAGAATATACGCTCAGTGCCGACAGGGCATGGTCGGATGGAGTTCGTTTCTTCGGATACGCGAAATTATCGGCACTAATTTTTCTCGCCTATTGTTTCTAACAAGCAGGCACAGAGATTTTCGTAAGAAAAAACGGCCAACTTATGAGAAAGCGTCACTTTTAATCTGCCTTCAGTAGTCTTCCTGCCTTCCAGACTTTTCACAGGTTGATTTTAAATGGATCGTCAACAAGGGAATCCGAACAATAGTTTCACTGTAGCTGCGTAATGAGACCATAATCTGGAATACAGTATCTAGTATTTAGTGTGTACCCCAGTCACATTTTGGTACGAACATCATAGATAACTGCACCCATCAAGTATACTTGGTCCTTCTGAAAAAAGGAAGGCTTTTCGATTTCAACACTAGAATACGGCCTGGCGATTTTTCTACATAAGCAATTCTCTTTGAAGTGACACAACTCCTTACGTATTTGGGGAATGGTATTCCAGATTTCATAGGGAAACATTCAACACTTAATTGGGAGGACTTCCCACTAGACCATTGGACAGTCCAGGTCTCTCTCGTTTCAAAACATGCTGCTGGATACCCTCTCAAAGCTCTTCTTCCAGCAACTGTGGACTCCCTGCATCCTCTGCAATACCAACCAAGTAATCTTACAAGCCAGTGAGGGAAAAATTCATCAACAGTTTGTCTAGTGGACCAAATGAACCCACAGACAGCCTTGTATCGCGTGTCTGTTAGGAAATCGGATATGGCAAGTTGAACTTGGTCAACACATACTACTTTGTTTACTTCAGTAATTCTGCAAATAAGCGACTTACTTGGTGTGAGCGAATAACCATGGCTGGTTTCCAGAGAGTCAGGCGATATGTTCACACACCGTCAGCTGGATTACTGCACCCAAGCCAAATACAACTCACTTCTCCGGTTACCATGCCCTACGGTAATGTATGCTACCCCCTATACTTGTGGTCCACTTGCATGGGCGAGAGGTGCTCATTTCTCCAACTCAGCCAGGATTACAAGGTACTTTCTGGTTGCAAAATCGTATGGTGAAGTGTTAGATATCAGGTTAGAGGTAGGATGTTGTGGGATACGCTTTAATAGACTGGAGCGAATAGATCCGGCGACAAGCAACCTACACCAGCTGACGGATGACCTGATGACCCAATGACCTCCGATCGAATGTATGGAATCCAAGAGTCATGTGGATGACGCACGTTTTACCGACCCAGGCAAAGGTAACTTTCGGCTCCTACGCTGTGCGAAGTGGTGGTCCGACGCCTGGGCAAGCCCTTAAGTGCAAGCGTCACGAGACCTGTGAGGATATCAGTCTGCCCCATCTTCAAAACGATAAGGCATCGCATATTCGCTCAGATTTCTCATTTGGGTCTACATAAGTTACTCGCAGTGTTTTGTGGTCAATCTGGGTCGGCCGTTGTGGTACAGTGTTGACTGAACCGATGGCATAACGGTTGTAGCAAGACCAACTTAGAATTTTTCCGCCCCTCGTGCCAATTTCAACGAGTGGACCTGGCAACTTCCCGTGTTGCCCTGCTTCTTCTATGCCACTTTGCCTGCGGGCAGATTTGTCACCTTATTACCGTCAAAATGTAGTTGATTTGAACGCGATCAGAAAAAACTTCCTATTCAAAAGCATAACTACCTTGTAAAACTATAGAGGAGATGTCGGTAGCGTGTTGCCCTGCTTCTTCTATGCCACTTTGCCTGCGGGCAGATTTGTCACCTTATTACCGTCAAAATGTAGTTGATTTGAACGCGATCAGAAAAAACTTCCTATTCAAAAGCATAACTACCTTGTAAAACTATAGAGGAGAATGTCGGTAGCTCAGGTAGCCTAGATGGTCGTTGGCTTGTTCCCTGAGCTGGGCAATTTGGTTCCAACCAAATTGCCCAGCTCAGCGAACAAGCCAACGACTACCTTGTAAAACATTTTTGCTGCTTTGTTTGAGGCCCTTTCTTCGGGTTTATCTCATTGTATATATTTGCTTTGGTTCACCAAATGTATGGATGATGTTACACTTTGAGAAGCAGTTCAGGATCCTGCTGCGTTGTCGGAAAATCGTTTATGGCGGGAATCGACCACTTTGCTCTCAGAACTACCCTTACTATGGCGTTTACATTTCAGAGGTGGAGCCTGTACTAACTTAGTATCTGGCTTCGATTCAAGTTGTGCAATGTAAGTAAATTCAACTCCCAACTTATTCTGTATGTTGCCGAATGCGAGTTTAACGCGAGTTTAAGGAAACAATTTCGTGGTAAATTCGCGCTTGTTGGTGCGACTAAATATATTTATGCAATTAGTGTGCTTCTGTGAGGGAACATGATTCAATTCATTTCATTTAGTTCAACGCCAGGATGTAATTCTCTTCGTTTCTGCACTGCCGCCCATTTCAAAGCTTACCAGATACTTTCAACATCAGAGTTTCAATAAGGAACTCGCAAGGGAAACAAAAACTTTTCCAGGTCATGTGACGCATCTATTTAACGTAAACAACATTCGAGCTCAAATTTTCCTACCATTGTTTGCAACGTATCCATCAGCAATCTATTCAGGAAGTTCCAGCTCTATCTCCAGTTTTAAGGTTGCTATGGTAAAAGGGTTTAACCGAGCTAACTGAACCGGAAGCATCTATGTTCGCGTGACTCCAAATACAAACCTGTGCATTGGGTTTTCTTTGCACACTTTCGAAGCGCTTTCGCTGAACTGAATGTCATGCTTCACCTATACAAAGAACACAGCAAACAGAGCCCATATCGATGCAATTTTCGACTACTGTCTTAAAATAAGAGCTCATGAGGTGTGGATTTTTGGGAACGAACTTTGGTTTGCAAAGATAAGAGAACAGACAACATTCGGTTGCTGTGGTAACAAGTGACCGAATCCAGATGATTGCGTGTACTAGATGTCTGACCGTAGCCACAGTCCTACGGAATTGTTAAGGAAGCGACATCTTGTTAACGAAACTAGGGTCTGAGGAACTTGTGTACTCGTGTCCTCCCTCAACAACGGCTATATACTTACATTTAGTGATGAAACAAAACGCTTCAGTCATATTCATGCGCCTTTGCAATTCTTTTAATCACTTTAATTGAATACTTGTGTTTTTGAACCTCATGTGTCCCTTTGCCTTAAACTTCACTGTAGGTTCGTGATGAGAATGACAATCCACCAGTAATGGAAAAACGACATTATGTATTCAAAGTGAAAGAAAACTTACCGCGTCACTCGCGCGTTGGGCAAATACATACTACAGACGCTGATGTATCCCCGGAAAATCGTCGAACAGTGTATGAACTCCGTGATATAGTCAATATCAACGCTTCTCAAATGCTCTTCATCGAGTCGTAAGTATTCCCATGCATGAGCTGGCCGGCTCTGTAACCCAAATGATGCGATTGGTACTAGGCTTACGGTAGAACATTTAGTCCACAACTGAAAAAAAGCAGACATAAATCAATGTTACTTCTGAGTCCACTTAATCCAGTGTAGTTAAAGACTTGCACAGACCTCCCATCACCACTGTCCTTCTTTTTAGGTCAGTCTTTCAACCTATACATGCGTATGATTACAACTTTTTCGATGAACAAGGTCACAAGGTCTTATATTTCAATACAGTGACCAATAATGGGATTCCTGAGAGAAGCACACCCAACTGCGTTGAATTTCGTAAAAAGCAATTTTTAGAGTTCGTAGTCTATGAAAAATTGCACGAGTAAACTTAGCCTCAAAAACTATATTTGTCGACATTTCTGGCGTTTTTAGCTGACTCGCTCTACGAGTAGGACGTTCGTCGTTTTCTTGTGAAAGCTTTGCATGCGAGAACCATTGAAGTAACCAATCATGCAAACACAAGTAGTTCGATGCTTTCTAGTTCAGTGAATCTTGGCGGCGTGTTGCACGAAAACTCTGTCAATCGCAGCAAGATATAACGTTTGGACAGTTTTTCTGATTACTGAACACTCCAATTCCCATTGATCCATGAAGTGATCGTTCAAATGGGCGCCACAAAATGTCACAAACTAAAACAAGATTGCTTGAAAAACGTGATGTGGCTGGAGTAATATGACAGCATGGAAGAAAGAGGCGCCTAAGCGTCAGTTCCGTTGCTGTTTACTCACCAGTACTACCACATGAAAAACGATAAACCGTTGTCGCTAAACTTACTACTCAAACACCAGTTAAGTACACCACACATTTAAGTAGCACTCCAGCTAAGTACCGTGATTCCGCTTCACTTAACCCACTCTGAGTAACTCACTGGCAAATGCTTTCACTTCGAGTTGTCGGCTCAAGTTAGATTTTCTATTTTTAAATCACATTAATTTGCTTACGACTAACCACCTGCACGCGAATTACGATGCAATGAATGACTAAAAAACGGTATGAAGGCTCTGCTTTATTTTCGCCAACCGACTTATTAAAAACTGTGAAATTTTGTTAAGCGTTCTTAAACATTTTTCAACATGTACATTTTTGTAATGTACTACTCATAAGGTTGCTGAAAATCCGTCGACAGCCCACGACCTGTTTCGCCCTTTTTGGGGCTCATCAGGTAGGTGTAATCCCTGAATTTCCGTCAACCTTATGTTCTACTTGAAACCACATTGCACGAAATTAGCGAATGTACACTCATTTGCAAACTAATTTGGTTTTTTCGAGAGGCTCACCTTGAATTCAGCTGAATTTCTCGTTTGTGATGTTCTAAGGCAACTGAATATGCTGAACCAGGCCGCCTCATTTTTCAGTCACTACGATATTCGCGACATCGCGATACGTGCATATCTTTGTAATGTACTACTCATTAGGTTGCTTCGAACCAACAGCACTTTCGTGGCCAAAAGCGAATGGGTAACACAGGAAGCTGAAAATTTTTGTTTAAAAAATTAGTGAACAAAGAAATATATTATTGTTATGCTTTTGATCGCTATCCTGCGATAGTTGGTGGGTGACGCCTCATCACCGAGCGCGATGACATCATTTACACAGCATGAGCTACCAGAATGTCCGCCAGCATCCCCTAATGATTAGTCTTCAAACAGAGCTGATGGACCGGTGCACATTCGAATGCTGCCGGACACATGAGTGGATCAACAGCACAGTCGATAGGTGTAACAAAACTGTCAGATTCAAGCAACTAAGTAGTTAAAATTCAATAACCTTGAGGTTCGCCACCTGGGGCTAAAGATGTATGAGTATCACTTGGGTTTCACTTCATCATTCATGTCTATCTGCAGCGCTATCACACTGATACAAAAAGGATGGAAAAAAGTCGATTTCAGACACATTTATGAGTGGGAAAATGAATGAATGCCCAAAGTCGTATGAACTTTGGAGTGCAAATTTCTTCTTTCTGAGTCATATCCGTGCCTATGAAGCAACTTTAATATTCAAAATACACGGGCTGTTTTGTGGAGCCTTTGGCAACGTGGTGGTGTTCCAGGACGTTCTATTTCAAACAAGAACGATGACGAGATCAGGAGCACGTATCGGTAATACAGCAGTTTCACTTCAAAGAAGTGGGCGCGATGTACGCCAAAATCTGAAGGAAGATGGGCATCGACCGTTTACCAACAGACATCTGGTTCAGCCCACCAAAAGGGCTGCTCAATTGGGATTCTTATACCTCTCAAACCCACATACAAATGTCACTCGATTGAGATATTCCTCACTATCAGTCGATGAAGCCCTAGAGTGTGCTGCATTCTGTTGGATTTTCGATGAACCCATGTGAATATGCGAGGAACGCCGCCTCCCAATAGATAACAAGATTAACCGGACTAAAAACGTGGCATGTGCTAGCTGTCAGATAAAGCATATTTATCGTGGTAAAAATAATGCAATAAAGCATGCATTTCCAGCGAACTATTCTGAATCATCATCATCATCAAAGACAGCAACATCATTGTTGGCACTGATGCTTCACTGCCGTACTGGGTACACGAGGGCTGGGATACTGCCAGGGCGCCCACACCTAGACAAGAGGACGATTAGGGTCCTCAACCAATGCCTTTGGCTCAAAAGCCTAGCCGCAAGGCAGCGGTGTTTGGCTGGAAATGTAAGTACACTACTATTTTTTCACGTCGCCATACATGCTCCAACCCCCAACCTGGATGGCCAGGAGACTGTGTTCGTCGGACCTCTACCGATGTACCAACCTGGAATGAGAGACTCTGTGAGCACCGTGTGGACACTCCCCAGTATAGCTCAATGAGTCACCGAGGTACACAAACCGCCACACCACGGTAAGGTCCAGTTTCTTCGTGACTAATCTGAATGGTTGAGAAGGATGCCGTATCCACTTCCAGTTCTAGACAAGCACCACTGCGTTCCAAATGGTGATATCGGTGCTGGGAATGACAGTATTATTCATCAAGATGTTCCTTGAGTGTTTATCCGGTCCTACACAGGAGAAAAATGCATAGAGGCAGTTGGAAGTGTGTTTTGAGGGTTTTGAGCCTGCGTGAGAGACTTCATGAATATCCGCACTGTATCAGTAAGAATGGGGTCAAATAGATTGTGCGATGTATAGCATCTGTTTGGGTTTATTATTGGTGGAAAACCAAAGAAAATCGCAGAGATTCTGTGTTACTCATGATTTCGACCACCTGGGGGTGACCGTTGTCAGCAGTAACTGATCACCACCACTGATCAGTATGAAGTTAAAGAATGCATTTTCAGGACGTCTTGTGGCTGTCGATCATCTCAGCGAATCTGTGGGCCCTGATAATAAATCTGCTATCGGAAATGTGATTCGAGAGTTTCGTGGGGTAAAATACTTAACAAACATTATACACCCAGTTATTAAAAACCCGTCCGTCACTGATGTTGTGACAAAGGCCATTATTCAGTTAGTGTCGTCAACTCGACGAGTTCCACATTCCATTCGGTTGTAAAGTTATAAATTCTTCCAAACGCTGAAGCGAACAGCATACGGGATACATGAAAACACCTTTTACAAAGTGAGAAACAGCCTGGTAGCCGTTCAGGTCCAGTGAGTTCTACGATCAAACACGTACCGCCCGCTTTGTATGAAATGAATAGGCTGATCAGACCACCGGTACATTTTTTGCCTCGGGTGAAAACACTTTTTCCGAGATTAAAACGTTCACTTTTACCTCAAAGCAAATGGTCAAACCTTGGACACACTCGATTTTATGGTGTAGTAGTAACCATTCTGGGCCGTTTCGATTTGTGTGGGATGAGAGAGAGATGAGAACCATGTTGAGGATAACGTTATTAAAGTCATCCGGTTGAGAGTAAAGATACTCATTTTTTGAGTTGGATTATATCCTTTAGTCAAGGAACAGGACTCAGTTACAAATACTCCCAAGAGCAGGCAGATCTGGCATCCGATTTTGCTAGGGCGATTGACAAAGTATGTGCTCACGAGATTTTCATCAGAAAATGACAACGTCATAGTGATCCCCCGGAAACGCTTAAGTGCACATCTTTTGACACCGAATTGTAAAGAAATGATTCAATTGAGTTATTTGACTGTAGAGAAATAGCAGTAAAGACAGGACGGTTAAGAGTGAGCTAAAATGTTGGTAGATGGGACCTGTGTGTGGCACTTGATCACAAACCAGACATATGTCCGCAAGGGCCCACTCGCCTCATGCTGTGGATCAGAGGTGATACAGATACATTATGCCACAGTGATTTCAGTTGATTTCCGGAATGTGCCTCGGTCCAACTTGTACACGGTTATCCCTCACAGAAGACACCAGCGGTATGAATTTAGCGTTAGAAATAGCTTCGAACGCATCCACGTGTCTTTGATTTTCCAACAGCAGTCTTTCTGCTGATGTTGTGTTTAAGCTAGTTATACCAGTTTTTTTGTAGCTATAAGTGGGAATAACAATAAGCTTCATTCGCCCATGAAAATATGCTATAATATCTTGCAGCAAATCTGCTCACAAAATACACCTTTCATAATCGGTGTCCATCCTCCCATATTCTAAAGGCATACTGGTGTCATTCGCACGCGCAAGGTCCTCGATCGTGAAGAAATCCAACAAATCCCATTCGTGGTCATTGCGAGAAACGAGTTTCCAAGTCCGATGCAGCAAACTCTTCGAGATTCCATCCGGGTTCATAGCACTATGAATAACAGCAAACTGTACGATGAGGCCAGTGTGACGGTGGAGGTAGAGGACGAAAATGACAATGCGCCCGTTATGCTTGCTCGCGGATCAGACCGGCAGTCTTCCACAACAGACAGCTTATCAACTATTGCTGATATCACTTTCAACACAAATATCAAAATACAGCGTAGTCCATGTGTAGAATTTCCATATTACTTTGCCGACGCAGATGACCAGTCAAATGGCGAAGTTGACGTTGTTATGGAACCTAATCCCTACTTTGAATTCCGCCTAGCAAACACACTCATTTGTCAGATAAGTGATAGCGCTCCGCCCGTAGGACAGAGCAACCTACGCATTACTGTCAGTGATCGGCCTAGTGATTCATCAAAAGTCCTGAGACGCCGGTTTACCGTACGCATGCATGTAATCCGGGAGGAACCTGGCAGACTGAGCGACAACGTTGAACCTTCAGTTCATTTGAAGAGTGACATCCAAGTTCCAACGAATCCATTTAACAATGTACCAGAACATCAACGTCGCATAACTGAGGATCAGGTCTCAGACAAAAATCCTGCGTGGAGTCCCGATATACGACAGCATGGTGTCATGGCCCAAGGTAGGCAGGCGTCGCGGGATCGGAGAATGGAACATAGGGGCAGCGCGGTCATCATTGTAACAATTTTGGTTGCAGTCTCCATTCTACTGTGCCTTCTGCTACTGGGTGCAGTCATCGCACTTAGACGAGCTTCACTGGCGTCACATGTAACCGCGTCTGGTAAGATCCTGTTTGTGCTCTGCTTCAAACAGAATTACAGAAGGCGAAGTTTCCCTCACCTTACTATTTTGCTGTGACGCACAGGTGCTGTTTTAAATGAGTTGTTGTTGAGTTGTGAGAAGATAGACATCCTAGTCATCTCCTGATTAGGCATCAGTAAACATGACTTGGCCTACGTTAGGGGCTTTTCACAGTTCCGTTTGTTGTTCAAGGTATGGGTTGAAGATTCACCAAGAAGCCGCAGTAAGGAGTAACATGGTCAGCTCATGAAAAATCGGTCATGTTGATAATAAGAAACTTCCAAGAGTTCTACTATTTGGGAAGAATTTCACATGGCAAACCTTTCCTAATGTTGCCGACTGGACCTGTAATATAACAAAAGTAATTTTGTTCTGCAAAAATTCTGTGTCTCGTTATCATTTTTAAGTGCATTGTTAGCTTGATGATGACCGGGTCGTAGCAATCAAAATTCTTATTTAAATATCTGTGATCGCTTTTTCCCTTTACCTGAGGTTCCGTCCTGCAAATGAAGGCAGTCTATGCTAGAAGCATTTGCAGTTGCTTCATCCTTACTCCACATTGCGCATCTCAAGGAACTCCATGAAGTTTTGGAGTAAATCAAATCGCTGATGACCCCATGGCCAAAGTTCAGACGTCCAGACTACTAGCCGAGTGGTTGAAGATTTCTGTACCCCTCTGTAATTCTAAGATACCGATGAAGGTTAAACACACGATTAGCGAACTACACCGATTTGCCTACTTATTTGGTTTTGATGGGAGACTCATCTGAAACCCGGTTGAATCTGTCGTCGCCTTGTGAGCAAGAATTAGTTGTAGATTTCCTCGCAAATTTGATGAAGTGTAGCACATGGTTGCTTCCAGTAACCAGGAAAAAAGGACGTTTGGTTTATAATGTTGCTTTTGGTCTAACGAATTCAGACAACTCTTTATTCCCTAGTGAATGGGCAGAAAGTCTTGTTTGGCAAGGCTTTGTCCTCTTGCAAGACCTGGTAAGTACCAAGATATTGGTTCCTACTTTTGCCGAGTGTTATTTGCAAAAGTTCCGAAAATCGAGACATGGGAACATTCTCATTTTTGTTGAATCTCATCACTTAGTCTGGAGCGGTCAGACACTGTGACCAACAATTTCAAGTCATCTCATCCTTCTATATCCACTGGAAGATTCTCCTGAAGACGCAAGTCCTTGTATGATTGATCACCTTCGGGATTGATCACATCTACATAAGAAACGTTTTATTTTATTGTGAAATAGTCAGCTCTACACTTGGTTTGTACGCTCACAAAATTTGGGATGATCTTCTGTCCGCTCAGTTTTGTCTGGTTATGCGTGTATTCTCTGGACCTGGATGGGCTCGCTTAACGTCTGACGACTCCATGTTGAGACAGCGAAGAATATCGGTTATCCACAACTTCACTGCGTGCACAATAGTTGCGCGTTTGTGCATCGGTCTTGCTTGATTGTTCCGTATGCTATTGATCCATGCATTGTTTAGACTGTTTGAATCCATTCTTGGCAGACTGAAACTCAGTCAAAAGAACGAACAGCTTTGTTAATCTAGTCTGTTGGGACTAATGTAATCGTTCGCCCTTTCTTTGAAAATTACTGTGGCGACGCCTGCCTGGAATCAACATACAAAAGCATGTTGGGAGTTTGTGACACCCTCTAAGTTATAGCTTATTTGTGAGCAGCCTGGTTGTAGACAGGTTAATAAAGCAAGTTGTAATTTCAGTCGAAATATTCCCCTGTGTCAGGAAGGAAGAATCCCCCCGACAACTACTCAGATATTCTAGTTGTAACTGTTTCCCTTAGCTTGGCGTCTTCAGAGCCTTCAACCCTCGTGGAATTGATTCATGATTCGAGTGCCTACGCGAGCGCACAGTTGAATTCGTAGTTAAAACACCTAATGGCATCGTCTACGGTAAGGTCTTGACTTATGTCCATATGCACATCACCCGTGGTCCGAGCTGATCTGTATGCGTAGCGCTCAGGAAACTACAACGGGGATTAATTTGAAATACTCTCACAACCGTTAGGCCCTGTACTACAACCCAACAGCACCTACCAACAAAGTGTCATTCCATTTGACTCAGAAATTTGACGGACATTTTCTGCTGTCGAAATCAAAATGTCCATGCCATAATAGGCTACTGGGAAGCAATCACTGAAAACGAGGGAAGACTGGCATACCAAGGGAACACTCAAGGTCGATTGGTATCCATCAACACCGGTTCAGCGACCTCAAAACCCAGAGCCGAAGCATTACATGGGTGCAACAAGGGAAAATATATTATATTATATGTTATGTCGTATCATCATATATCATGCATATTAATCATATATTATATGCTATATTTTGGAGTATTTCAACACCTTGCTTTCCATTCATCTAATTGTTTCGATCACCATCCGCAGTCAATGTAGAACTCTGGATTTATTACACTGAGCTACAAATCAAATGACAAGGTCGTCGATTGAAAACAGATACTCAAAACATTTACCCAACACGGTGAATGAACCAATATAGGCTTTATTTATGTTGGAAAGGGACACCCCATCTTCAATGTCTGACCACGAATTTTGCAGCACTTCACGAATTAAGTAAGCGTATTGGAATGCAACAAGAAGCTGCTGGGTTCAATGAACATACTTGGCGAATGCAATCTGCTGCTACAAGTGTTCAGTGTCCAGAAAATTACAAATCCCCCGGCACCAATGTTGATTCCCATTTAGTGATATATGGGGAGATAGATTGTCGCATATCTTTCCGCCATCATAGCATGTTCTGCAGCCTTGCGTTTGCAACTATTTCACGTTGTAATAATTTGATTGTACCTTCGAATTAGTCTAACAGGATGTTTATTAGCTTCAGGTTCATAGTGGTGACTTGAACAAACCGTGTTACGAAATGTACTGTGTCCCAACCTGAAAAGTCGCGTTTCTTCCCTTTTGATAGCACTCTCGGACAATACTGATCTAAGTTGTCTGTTAACTTCCAGGTCGATATCGCAAGCAAAGGAAATCTGAAGAAAAGAGTCGCTACGATGGGAAGGATGTGGCACCTTTCCACAACCACCACACGCTGAGCCTGCCGCGGCAGTGTCAAAACGATGGTGCTCAAACGGTAAGTGTTTTGGTTTATATTGGTAAAGTTCGCGATGGGGATATCATCTAGGATCAAATTTATTAAAATGAATGCTGAATGGTTGGAGAACGAGTCAAAAATGATAGTATGAACTGATAGCCGTTATCAAAAGAGCACATCCCAACGCTAAAGTGGATTCATTTGCATCGTGGGAGAACTTCTCCTGACGGAGTAAATTTATGACACTACAATGCGATTGTTATGCTCCTGAACTATACAGTTACCGGAATTTGCCCCTTAGGGCCGCGTTGCTTGTGGTGAAACTTACTTATTAAACCGATGCAGCATATAACTTAAATTCAAAATCACCTAAAGCGGAAGTAGGATAAAAATTGCCACCAACTACGCAAACAGGTCAACAGACAGATGATCCGGAGAGTGTGAAACATCAAAGGTTAAATTGAACGGCCACTGGTCTGCTTATCAACGCCCAGCAGTCGAGTCGCACCCTTTGTGAAAGCGCTGGTGTGGCTGAGCTTTGCGAAATTCGACCGCGCAGTAATACAAGTCGACCCATATTAAGTTACTGATTGTTATTCATAACCTTATTGATTTCGTAACACTGAAGATTCAAGAAGTAGCCATCTGTGGAGCTCCTCTTCCGTTTTCTCAATTAAAAGACATCGTTACATCTGATCCGACGTTCCTCATCGGGACAATAAAGGTCTTGAAAGAAAGTACAATTGACGTGCTTGTGCTTTTTATTGAAATAGCTTCCGCAAGGTAGCCGTTAATTTGCTTCCACCGGCACAGTCAAGCCGGCGTCTAGGAATACTGGAATAGATACATGGATTAATCTCTTAGTACCCGACTATTTCATTACTGATAATCTGTGTTGAAGTCAAATTACGATCGTTGAGCAGTAAACTCTGCGATGCTTTCGGCCATGCACTTGTGTGTGCTTTTGTTTGGGGAGGCTGACATTAACGGAATGCTTTTTTGCCATAGGTAGACCACCGAATTTACTGTTGATCAGAGAGAAAATGGTCTGTTCACCAAGTCTGGCTAGAAGCTTGCAAACATTCGCTACCGTGCACGGAGACTTCGTAATTAACCATGCCCAAACCCATCTCAGCGAAAAGATCAACCACCAACTTACAAACTACTGACGAATTTATTCGACCTACCAAATTTTGCATGCGGATCATACTACCACGACTGTATTAAACTGAAAATCAAGCATTAATGACTGAACATCTTGGTGCTCTGTCAACAGCGGTTCATCCACAGCTCGTGTTAATGACTTCTTTCACGAGTTGCGTGTATAAAACAGTTGGATTCCGCATCACAACTGCATATCTGTCGTCAGTTTCTCAATTAGCGGACAGCCGTGCTCATCATTAAAAGCAGTTGACTTCAGTTGAGTGGCGTTCCCCTCATCACTTGTCTCGCGTTATGTTGCATCTGGATTTCTGGACCGTTTGTAATGTCCATATGATGTGAACCCCATAAGAGCCAAACGCTGATTACATCCAATATCAATTACAATGCGACTTTGTCAGTCATTTAAAGTTTCAATTTTAACTGAGATGGGAAACTAAATAGTAATGCTGTATAGAGGCATACCGTGCAAATCCGAATGAATGGCATAAAAACAGATACTAAAATATCTTAGGGAGCTTGGTTGAAGACGGTGAAACAAATCTATTCCTGGCCTGATTGGACAACCAAACCGATTTGTATAGCAGTCTGGTCAACCCGGTTCGTGTAACATTCATCGCAAAACCTAATTCTAACAACAAACCGTTTGTTTGGTTTCGATTGTTGTCAGTAATATTAGTCACATACGCACAAATTCCAAGAAAGTGAAGATGTTTGCACGCAATCTGTCGGTTATCCACCACTAATCCGCACTTTCAAAGCGATTCGCTCATGATAGTGCGTGAGCTAATTAGTTATTCCAAAGCAATTTGAAAGGAACGGATTACATGAGGCGGACGTTACTTGGAATGCTCAACAGGATGTCCGGTGAGGAAGCTGAACAAAACCGACATAGCTGGCTTGTAGTTTAACGTGAGGATTAACTAACAAAGATGGCTTTGAGCGATCACGATAGAAAAATGACAAGATACATGGGTGGGATCAACGTTGAGGAAGACAGGAAGGGGGAGAGAGCGCAACCACGTAACAAAGAAAATTTGTTGCTGAGGTTTTTAACTATTCTGGGTTTACTTCGTTTCCTCAAGTTCAGGCTTCTGGTGTTTTGTAGGTCATTTTCAAACACACGCACTTTTAACTCAGTCGGTCAGTAGGTGTCACGTGATACCTGGGATTTAAGTGAATGCATCCACTTATGGGTCTACATGACGTGAAAAACTCGCAACAAAAAGGACTTCAAATTAACAACTAGAAGTTCGACAGTAGTAGGGAAAAGAGAAACTTCGCTTTTTCAGCCAAATTACTAGTCTTTTTCCGCCTGATATCTCAATTTACCAAAAGCTACTTCTGTCACGATCGATTTTGTATTAACAGGCAGATTACCGATTCTCCGCTTTTGTGATTCGTGCACTGACAGTGTGTTGGTGATTCTCAAGCAAAGGTGTACAAGCTAACCACCATGCTAGTCGAACTGGTCAACAGCCAACACGAATAAAACCTCATACAATATCAGTGGTCCCTTTAGGCAAACAAACTAGCACACTGTACGTTGCACAATAGGACAAACATGCGAAACCCAGCTACTACCAATGTCTCCAATGCCTGCTAGTTAATACTTCCAACAAAGCTTCTGTTCGGTTAATTACCCTCCTGTACTACATTCGCATATCAGGAATTTCCGCCTATATCGTGATGCTTATACTGATAACAAGTGCAAGAATTTTATACTGAAATATCATCCTTATTTTATGCAAATGATGACTTGCTTTCAGTTGCTACGTAACTCACAACCTCATGCAACTCTTATCAGGAAATTACTTTCCGTTCAAATTAAGCCAGAAGTATGAAAATTTGGCCTCTGCTTTCAAGAAATATCTACTAAGAGAATATCGTTGTCTACGCACAAATGAACTTTAAAGTACTGTGCTCCGAATGGCAAATTGACATCTCCGTAAAACAGATAGGAAGCAGGAATTTCCATCTGCATAGTTGGTAGAATTAGGGAATAGTAGCGGATGAAAATTTGAACAGGTTCATTTTATCGACAACAGACCCATTTACCAAATGATATTCAGGCAGCTAGTGAGTTGAGATGTTATTGAAGGGAATCAAGAGACTGCTCTAGTAAGGAGTGATTGTCCTTTCACTTTTTGACTAAAACCCCAGTTTTCATTTCAACTGTCTGTACAGATCAGTTTTGCATTCTAACTTACGATTGCTGTATAAGTATTAAACTGGGAAAATGTAGGTGCCTCATAAAACGCTTCTGGTCCCCTGCAAAGAGGTTCCGCAAACCCAAAAACCGGCAGGTGTATACAGTGATGCTCATACTGCATTCCATGAGACTTCCTTATTCGCTAGTGGCTATAAATTCGGAGTGGTTACTTGCAGCAACCAATAGTATGCGGCCTTAATTTTTCCTAGCATGGAGGCCCAACATCTCAAGAGGATTTCCAGAATTCTTACATATTTTGAGCTCCGCTCATCTAAGGCACATTCGTCAGACTCTGTTACCTTGAATGCGTTGGAACTTTTGTTATTTACTACGCTAATCGCAGAAAAACATCGATTTTTCCATTCAGATTGTGAAAGATTTTATTCGCATGGTTCATTAATTAGCTTACCCGAGTTTAATTTGACTTGGCGCCAGGAGGAGGGAGTACTTAGCGGCAAATCAACCATATTTTTGCACTTGGCAATTAACTGCTCCATTTCGCTTCACCAAAAGTGAGTAGCCCTTGTTCTGCCTAGCACTGTGAGGATTTGCTTATCCGATTGAATAAAAAAGTACTCCTAAAAATTCCAAATTGTGTTTTTAATCATGGTCACTCACATAACTCTCCCCGAGTAAGCTGATGGTGTTCTGCTTTACTACAGTGACGCAGTAGTAAATAAAGGAAGAATTCGGAACAGCATCCGTCAGAAGGTAGTCCGAAGATGATATAACACGATAACTAATGGAGCTCAGACCGCTGAGGGGGACATTCCCAACAACAGCTTGCTTGAAAATATGCTGTCAATTCGACACATTCAAATCGACGTGTTGACTGGCAGTGTGGCCCTTATATGCTTTTCTGCCTTGAAAAGCAAGTATTGCTCATTCCAGATAAGCTTCCTCCAGGTTCGCCAAAGAATGTGGTGTGCATTTGTATTCCATCTTAACCAAGTCGTTCGTACCAGTCCGCGAATAAAAATGCGTCTCGGAAAGCGTTCTAAAAAATTTACGCGGCGCAGGCATTCCAACCATGCGCCTACTTGTGTCATAAAACATCAACTGCATCATGTAATGATGAAATTCTAACTCCGGTTCATATGACGTAAATCCCATGGTATCAATAGGAACTCTGAGCGAACGCTCAGTTTGTTGGCCACACCTTTCCTCAAGTCAGCTGATTGCGAAATGCCATGCATAGAAAGAATCACGCATTCTTGACTGAAGATGGGCTATGATTTTTTAGACAAAACATACTGCATTCACTTGGAGGAAGCGGATTCACAGACACAAATCTGTGAACCAGCGCCGTGATCCATTCTCCGAAATTTGAGCAGTGACACCTTTCTTCCATTTCCAACCTCAATTTCACAACTAGTGAGCTTCACTGTGAGTATTGTGTCTTCATCCTTATTAGCTTTTGTCACTGAAATTCGGTCGAGTGAAGTCAAAAGTCTGCCTCTTTCGAGGTTTCTTGCTGATTCCACTGTCCGTTTTTTAAAACGGATTCCCTTTACAGTCACCCGAAAGTCATCCGAAACCT